CGGCAGCCCCGCCCGAGCTTCCCCTGCGGGGGCGGCCGGCCCAGAGGGCGGGGAGCTCCCCTCCGGCGCGCACACCTGCTGTCGGGGGGGGCTTTCTCAGAGGCGCGGCTCCCGGGGCGAGCAGGTGTGGGTGTCTCTGCTCCCAGCCTGGCTCGTCCGCCGCTCCCTCCCTTCCTCCCTCCCTCCCCTCGGCTTCTGTGTCGGTTGTCATCTTTATGGGGCGCTGGGGAGGCTGCAGCCGGCACCCCCGGCGCGCCCGACGCGGGCAGCACTTCCGCAAACGTAACTGGGGTAGGGAAAACAAAGGCGCTGCCCGAGGGAGCCCTCGCCCGGCTCTGGCAGCTGCAGGGGTGGGGGTGGGGGTGCCGGGAGAGGCCTGGGCCCCCACGTCCAGGCCCTTCTCTGCCCAGCTTGCCTGGCGCCCTTGCCATAAACATTCTCGGGGAGGGCAAGGGGGAAGCGAGAACCTGCAGCCAGCCCCAGTGACAAGAACATGACCACTCGTGTGCCAAGAGAAGGAAATTGACAGCGTCTGATTCCCCAGGTGAATAAATGCGAAATTACCTTTACCCCCATGCCTGCTACCGCCTTGTGCTTCTTAACTGAAGCCTAACATGGTCTAACATGTCCCTAGAGCTTTTTTGAGATACTAATGGGGGTTACTAGCCTTTCTGGGTCCTATTTATTCCCCAACCCCCTGTAATTTTAAGTAGGAAGGTGAAAAATTTCAAACGCAACTTATCCCCTCATTTCTCTCTTCGCCTCGCAGACAGGTGGATTAATTACCCGTCAGGCAGGCACACGGTGCATTTTACCTCTCCCACACACATTCACAACCACAGGCATTTCCTTTTCATCCAAAAATACTCAATAAACACCTTACAGAGCTCCTGGAACAGATAAAACCTTGCCTAATAGTTGTAGGAAAGAACCTTAAAAAGTTGAGGTTCTAATAACAGTTGGTGTCCAAATAGTTGCGTGTCCTTGGGCATGTCACACCTTCCTCAACCTCAGTCCTCTCACATGTAAAAGGGGATGGTTGGGTAGTATGGTAGCCAAGTTTCCCCTTATTTGTTCTAGAAGTTCAGGATTTTGTGGAAATCTAACCTCTTCAATATAGAGAAATATAAGGGAGTGGGTGGACAAACAGTTGACCAACAACAGATGTGTATTTAGTAGATTCCTGGTGTCTGCAGAGCATCCCTTCCCCAAGACATGGGGAACTAACTAAAGGCGTATGGATGGCCTTGCTAAGTAAAAGGAGAGGATAGGAACCCTAGTCAATGGTAAGATTGGCTTTTGACACTTTAAGCAGCTGGCCATTAGCAGACATGCAGGATATTTTCATTTATTTAGGTAGCCAGATGGCTTGTGTTTATCGCAAGTTGCAAGTAAAATTTAGGATTGCTTAGGAGGAGGCTGGGACATTGCTGTTGAGCCTGGTGTAAGACACTGGGTGAGTAGGAGAGAGGATCACATTTCAATAATGTGTTAAAGCTACTAAGCATGTTTACAATAATTTATTTCTAAGGCCCTTTCTGTTTGTGTACAGATGAGGCAAACTAAAACATAAAGATAAAACAGCAAGGTTTGATTGTTTGGTGGTATGAGGTATTGGATCACCCAGTCTGTCTGGATTGTTGACGGTAATAAGGCACTTTTTGAGTACTATGTTCAAAACACCATCTTACACACTTAATTTCTAAGTCTCTGTGAGAGAAATCTTTTCCCCAGCATTGTGGATGATGAAAAGGAAGCTGGGAAGAGTTAAGGAATTTACACAAACCACATAATCAGTGAGAAGGGGAGTTAGATTTGACCCCATGTCTCTGGCTGCAAAGCCTAGGAAATTTCCACATGATGTTCCTCCTTATTGGGGATCCATTGGGCCACACCACTATGCAGGTGCCCTCCCTTGCTTTTTGACTTTGAAAATTAACTACATTTCAGTGTACATATATTACATATGTTAACATTTATCTATGTAAGATGATCTGTACATTTATATTGCGTGCATATTAATGCATATATACTCATTTGTTCTCACCATTTTTAGGCTGAAGGCAAGTGTAAGAAAAATGAAAATAACCAAAGACATATTTAGTATTAGGCCGACAGGTTTTTTTGGCTTTCCTTTTTTCGATATTCAGGAAATCTTGATTTAGCAATCCCGTTCTAGGGAAAGGGAGATATGCAATAAATGTAAATATGTCTCTTAGCCGCTTTGGTACCTTGTCTTGGGAAAAGTCAAGATATAGTAAGTGAAAAGAGGAAATTGAAACAGAGCTTTACATGCATGTACCTAAACACGTGTGCCGGTATACATACACCTCGTTGTCCCCAAACAGTTGACATTGGCTACGTGAAGGAAGTAGGATGGGGTGGGGTGATAAGAGGGTGATTTTACTTTTTTCCTTATGAAGTTATGTTTGAACTTGTTTTTTAAGGGTCTGTGTCAGCCTCATTTGTTTCCCTAAATCCCAAATGACACATTATGTAGTACTTAGCCCTGTTGATTTCAGTAACATTTCTTTCCTAGCCGGTTTTCCTTCTCCATATTTAGAAGACACTTATTTACTGTTTTGTAAAATGGCACTATCTTAATTTAGTTGGCCAGGAAGCTTTTGGAAACTATCAGAGTCATTTGTTAAAACAATGATTTACTGGGGGCGCCTCGGTGGCTCAGTCGTTAAGCCTCTGCCTTCGGCTCAGGTCATGGTCCCAGGGTCCTGGGATCGAGCCCCGCATCGAGCCCCGCATCGAGCCCCGCATCGAGCCCCGCATCGGGCTCCCTGCTCTGCGGGAAGCCTGCTTCTCCCTCTCCCACTCCCCCTGCTGGCGTTCCCTCTCTCGCTTTGTCTCTGTCAAATAAATAAATAAAATCTTAAAAAAAAAAAACAAAAAAACACACAATGATTTACTGGGGCAGAGCCCCAAAGAGAAAACCAAGCCAAAACTAAATAAGCTAAATGTGAAACACCTAAACCTTGAGCCTATATATCAGTATGTATTTGCTATAGATATTGCAACTCACCTTGCTAGTTTGTGGGTCTAAGTAGCTCCCAAGCACGCCCACACCCCCACCTCAGCACCAACAAAAACTACCCAGAGTGTTGTATTAAAAGTAGCCTCCATCTGCCTTGGTCCAATGTAATGTAAATGCGGCTGAGCAGGGGATGTGCAGATTGTGTTGAAGGGATTTTTGAGGCTTGGAGATGTGAATGAGAACACTGTATTACCTTATGCCCTGGTGGTCCTGCTGCATTTTAGGCTCGGGCGGGGGGGGTGGAGCAGATGGAATGAAATCTAGGCTCTGAGAAAAACCCATATTCCAGAGGGATGAAAGAGGATTGAGTAAAGGAGGGCTGAGACACCTTTTTTTGACATTTGTTCTCACATGTGTTTGAGAAGGGAAGACAAATCTAGGGAACATGTTGCAAATAGAAAACAGGGAAGTCCAATTTTGAATAACTCTGAGGAAACATTTTGATCCGAGACCAGGAGTGGAAACGGCGGAGAGTGGGAGTCTGGCCCTCATGAGTCAGCAGTGGCCAGAGGGAGCTGTGGTGTGGCTTTGTTGAGGATAAAAGGAGAACTGGAAAGAGGAACTGATGTTGTCTCAACAAGCCTGATTTATAGGTTAATTGTGCCAAGGGGAAGGGAGTAAGGAGCCTGGTGTGGTAGTAGCTGCCTGAGTGGCTATGTAGAGAGACCTCCACTGCACAAACAGGTGCCCTCTGCCTTCCACAAGCTGCTTCAGCGTGGGCCCTGCGGCCCGTGGGGTGCCAAGCAGCAGAGGAACTCTGCAACCCTGGAACAGTGGAGGAGCGGGTCCCTGTGAGCCATGTGGCAAATTCTTGTCTCATAACTGCGCTGGATACTTTTAGGGAAAAGATTAAGAGAGAACACACTTGGGCCCAAGGCCTCTCTTAACAGAGCGAAGTCTGAAGCCCCTACACTAAACATAAAGCAGAACCATACAAAGTGACAGGCACGCCATCTATGATTTAATGAAATACACTGATCTGGTCCAGCGTGGTCAAACTTTTGCGCCTAATATGGAGTACCTTCTTAATTCTCTTTCAAAATAAGTTCTGTGGAACTGTGTTTAATGAACAAATGAAACCCAAATTCACCAGTATGAGGGAGTTTGAATAAAAGATTTTATTGTTATACTCTCAGAGGGTAAAAATGACACACATTTTAATTTTATTCGCTGTATAATCAGGTTCCCTATATTTTGAAGGTGTGACATCTTTTTTAAAATTATTTTTTATTAAAGTATAGTTGACATACAATGTTACATTAGTTTCAGGTATATAACATAGTGATTCAACAATTTATAAATTATGCAATGGTTACTGCAGTGTTAGTTACCATGTGTTACCCTACAAAGTTGTTGCAATATTATTGACTATATTCCCTATGCTGTACTTTTCATCACCACGAATTAACTGGAAGTTTGTACCTCTTAATCCCCTTTACCTATTTTGTCCATCCCCTCAACTTCACCATGGCAACCACCAGTTCTTTGTATTTATGAGTCTGATTCTACTTTTTTGTTTGTTCATTCATTTTGTTTTTTAGATTCCACATGTAAGTGAAATCATATGGTATTTGTCTTCTTGTCTGACTTACTTCACTTAACATAATACCCTCTAGGTCCATCCAGGTTGTTGCGATTGGCAAAATATCATTCTTTTTAACGGCTGAGTAGTATTCCGTTGCATGTATATACACCACCTCTTCCTTATCCATTCATCTGTCAGTGGACACGTGGGTTGCTTCTATAACTTGGCTATTGTAATGCTGCAGTAAACCCAGAGATGCATATATCTTTTCGAATCTGTGTTTTCATTTTCTTTGGGTAAACACCCAGCAATGGAATTACTGGATCCTGTGGTAATTCCATTTTTAATTTTTTGAGGAATCTCCATCTTGCTATCCTGAAGATACAAAATCTTTTAAGGGTATTTCAAAGCCCTTGTAGCAGGCCTTTTCAGTTGTCTCTACCAGTAAGCGGGATCAGCCCAAGTAGAAGCAGACTTCAATTTAGCAACTCCCTGTGACTTTTCAGGAACTCCAGGATCAAGGGTGTCCTGATTGAAACTCAAATGCCTTGTTTTTTAATTTTTAAGATTTTATTTATTTATTTATTTGAGAGAGAGAGTGAGCATGAGCAGAGGGAACAGCAGAGGGAGAGGGAGAAGCAGGCTCCCCACTGAGCAGGGAGCCTGACACAACCCCGGGGCTGGATCCCAGGACCCTGGGATCATGACCTGAGCCAAAGGCAGCCTCTTAACCGTTTAACCAACTGAGCAACCCGGGCACCCCATCAAATTCCTTGTTTTTAAAATAATGCCTCTTTTGTATTTTAAAAGTGATAAATGCTCACTGAAGGAAAATCCAGCAAAGTATAAGGAAAAAAAATTTAACTCCTAACTTCTCAGAGATAGCCCTACTAACATTTTGTTACTATTTTCTTCAAGTTTTTTTCTAAAATATATTTCATATGAAGTACATAAACTTATAAGTATAAACTTT